TCATTTTCACTACCCTGTGAGAAACAATTCTCAGAGAAATCGTTCAAAAGGAAAGGGTTTTTAGAAGTGGACAGAACTTCCCTTCAATGCAAACCAGAACCCCTGAGATCACCCTAAAATAGGTGGGGTGTTTTGCAGCTATATGCAAAGAAACTAACTGGCAACAGGAAAACCGTAAGGAAGCTTAGGGCCACATACACAATCACATACAAGTATCTGTTTTGCAGCAGTTATTTGTCGTGGGAAGATACTGCACAGAGATGACCTCGGTGCAGGAGAAATGACTTGTATGAAGTGGTCTGAAAAGGTTAGACGAGGAGCTCCCCAAGAAACAGTGATAAGATAGGGAACCTCCAAAGAGGGAAACCAAGGACCTGATAGTGACCACTTCATTCTTGCTGCCATAGAAGACAGAGGCAGAGCTAGACCGTGTGTGTGTGCGTGCGTTTGTGTGTTCGTGACAAATGGGAACACCAGGCAAAAGACAAGAGATGGGGAAGAAATGCTGGGGAAGGGGGCATTGATCAGTAATAAACTATTGGCTCACTTAGTCATAGAAACCCTATTTGCATCTTTGTTTCTACTGGGTGAGGAGGAGAAAGGAAAGAAGAAAGTGGGGAAATCCATTGGCACTGTTCTAGACAAGCAGTCACAAAGTCCAGTCTTCTTCTGTTTATGCAAGGGACACTTCTTTTCACTGTTTCTTCCCTCCCACAGCAGACCTCATATTGCATCCTAGGTTGTTCCCAAGGTCTGTCTGCTGCCCCCCCCCCAACCCCCCTCAGAAGCTGAATTTCAGGAAGCACAGCAGGCTGCAACGGGGAAAGGGGAAGTGGGAAAGTTCCATTCTGTCAATGCCATTCCACTCCTAGGATCCAACGTGGTATTTGCACTTCCCTTTGGGAAAATTTAATTCCCTGCTACTCTGCTGTGCTTCCCTGTAGTAGGAATCAGTTGGGCATTACTTTATTTCCAAATTATATTTTACATGTTAACTTCAGGTATACTCAGTGAAAAGAGTAACACTCCAGTGGCTGCCTCCCTAGAAATGAATGGGGCAAAGGTTCTCCTAGCATGAGAGACTAAGGACATAGGGAAGTTACTCAGGGGAGAAAAAGATCCTTTTAACAGTTTCTGACTTTCTCGGGAGGGTGAATAGGAGATTCCAAATTCCTGATAATCACAAATGCTTACTAATGATAAACACAGCAACTGTTTTATGTGGCTAAAAGACATCCCAGAAAGAGAATCTTGAAAAGGGAAAATACATTTTTAAAAAAAGATTCAATAGCACAACATGCACATTGAAACAGTACTTTTGGGAGGAGAAGAGTCCCAAATAGCATTTTTAAAGCAGCTTCAGCCACAACCCAGGCCACCATTGCTGCAAAAGCTGTACTTGTGTGTAAATGTGCAAAACTGATCTCTGACACTTTGTACAGCAGCTGGGATTCACCTTAACACATAAGGTAGGACAGCCTTACCAGAAAGCAGTGATATGCCCAGCCACAGACGAAGAAAGTATTCAGAATCTGAATAAGGGTGGGATATTGCAAGAAACTGGAAGCACTAAAGACGGAGGATCTCTCTTTGGGAAGAACATTCTCTCAAGAGACAGGAAGAGTACATAGCCAGAGTTAGATAAAATATGAAGGTCTTTTAAGAGATTACAAGACTGTGCAGAGTATTAATGGCAGAGCCATTTTTAAAAACCTGAAGATGAGGTCTAAGGTTCTACCCTCAAGGAAGAAATTGCCTTTGAAACAGTGAACCATTTAATCAATTATGAGGTACATTTTATGGAAGCAAAATTGTACAACAGATTACCTTATTTAATAACCAAGAACACTAACCTTCCCTTAGGTGTGCCTGAGGGAAGTGGAAGCCAGAATATGTCCCCCCATGCTGGATCTGACTGTACCTGTAGGACTAACCACAAAGTCCAAGACACTTAGGCAGCAGAACCCCCCCCAAGTACATGGGGTACAGCAGCAAACACAGGTAGAGGACCTGAACACTGAACTCTTCCTTGTCACCATACTGAACAGGGACATACAATACCATAGCCTACCCAAACCCACCAGCATAAGTCCTTTAGTAAACAGCTACAGTAGGTCAGGTTAATGACCTGCCAGCTCACTAATGTGGCTCCCAAAACTGGTAAATCAGGTACCTCAAAGGGTTTATTACTACACCAGGAACTAACAGCAGCACCGCTGCTTACCATTACTTGTATAAAATCTGCTTTTGCATGGATAAGACTCCGTTACTTGTTAATTGATGCCACTGAGTGGAATGAGGGGCCCAACAGGTCCCAAAAAGAAGAGATCCAATCCAAGAACAGAACCAAGGAGACCGAAGACATCACTGCTGAAAGGACTGGACTCCAAGGGGTCTGCTATCACACAGTCACAAGAAAAGTGGAGATGGATTGCGGGGCATCAAAAGAAGAAGGGACAGGCTTGTTGCAAGCACAATTAATTTAACTAATGTGTTCACAACATCTCTTGCCTGGCATGTTAGTGACTGAGTACCACTTCCAAAGAATCCAGACTGATGCACATGGCACTCTCCCAGAAATGTCTTTGCTTCAACTAAAAGTGCGACTAAGTTGTCTCCACCAGGATTTCTGTTTTTTTAAAAACCCTCTGAACTGCTTGCTACACAGCTATTGTATTCAGTGAGGCCTAGTCTCAGGTACAAGTGAAAAGACTGCAGCCTTAGCCAACTTTTCTCCTTCCATCACCCTCTGGGAAGCTACACTGGTCCAATGTCTATTTGGAGGAGGCTCAACCGTGCAAGGGGGAAAAGCAGGATCCCTTGCTGTCCAAACAGAGCTGCAAGACAGCCACTGAACCAGGACTGGAGGCCATCCGAGAAAAGCTTTGCTAGCCCAGCAGCTGCAATTCTAGATTTTTGTAATCTTACACACAGAAGAACAGGTTACAAACACTTAGGGCAACTGCAAAGCTTTGAAACATTACATGGTACTTATGAAGAGATTCTGCTAGGTACAGACCACACAGGAAATGGGACAGCAGAAAGATGCAGAAAGATTTTATTAGCAGGTGACTGGGCGAGAACTGCTTCACACAAGTAGCACAAGGTGCCCCTATCACCCAGCCTTTTCCTAGGAAGCAGCCCTGGGTAGAGGGAGCAGGAGATTTGCACGTCTCTCTGGATGGAGACATGCAACGTTTGAAAAAGGGGAGAAGAAATTCTGACATCTTTGCCTTTTCCTCTCAATCATAAATTTCATGATATACCTCCTAACACAAGTGTTGGAATGTCTAGCACGTCTGACATGTGCAGTTAAAACAACAGACAAATTTATATCAACCTTTACAAGGAATGCTAGGACTCGTTTAAACACTCACGACAATTAATTTTATACAGCATGATTAAAATCAGAAGACAGAAGTTAAAAATCAAAACCATTTCATTAAAAAAGAGTCCACCCTGATGTGTCCTACAGCTTTAGTGCACCCGCTCAGGCCACCCACGATAAGTGGGTGGGGGCAAGAGGGCTTTGCATTTTCAGAAGCCTAATCCCAACCTTTTTGATCAATGGAAAAATTACAGAGCTAGTTTTCTGTCTGCAGTAATGAGCTTTGGTATAGGAGTGCCAATGCTAACATACCCTCCTCCTTTAAAAAAAAAAATCAATTCATTCATGCCTCTGCCTTCTTCATACTCCCTGAAGGGTTTGCCTTTTCTTTTATTCAATAAATCCCTTACCAACTGGAAAGACTGGTTCAAGCCAGTTAATATAATCATGTGTAAAGATGTGTTTGAGTACGTAGATCTCAGATGGTATCCATGGAAAGCTATTCTGAAAGGTCAAGCAATTTGAAGGCCTTCATGGGAAGCTCTTGGGTGCCACACACAGCAAATGAGAGGAAGTTTGCACAAGTTTCTAAGCAAACAGCTTGGTCTTCATTGTGGCTCAAAGAGAAACTACAGAAATAAATAAAAGGCCAGGTTTTGCCTCTTCTCTCCAGACCCACAGCAGAAGCAACCACTATCACACCAACGGATGGGTAGCACAAAGAGTGGGGAACAGGAAACTTCCCCTGAGAAAAATTCCTCTTTCACTCTTGCTGGATCCATTACAAATGTTTGCAGCAAGAAGGGTACTGTTTGCATGTCTAACAGGCTTTCATAGGAATATCTTGTATGAACAGTGATGACTTCTTGACCTTTACATAATTCATTGATTAAACCTGGAAGATGAGGCTGTACAAACTGCATGGAGCATTGTGAGCATTTAGAGAGCTAGAAAGTACAACCTTTTAAGCCAGGGCAGAAACAGTTTGCTTCATCTCAAACTGCAATCCAACCAACTTTGTGAAAAGCACACAATACTTTCAGTTAATTCACAGCCATTATTGCATTATTCTAACTTTTAAAAAATGTTTAAAGCCTCAGGACATCTGAAGACCAGTGGAAAGAGGGCTTGCAGAAACTGCATAGAAAATAAGGAAATGGAAGCATCACCTGGTCCTTCATAAGAAGAGACCACCAAGTCTATGGGCAGCTTCCAACATTAGTTTGTACAGACACATTAAGATGCATGCAGACTTTACTTTGGGATGGTTATGTGGCTGTCCATCAGTATCAATGCTGAGATGCTCATTCAGCCAATCATCTTTCAGGGGTTTCCCAAACATTCATCTCAGTTGTAAAACAGGAAAATCATTCTTCTGAAAACTGCATCTTAAGAGTAGTATCAGAAAAGACAGGTAATGTGTCCTTAACAGGGAAGGGCTCTCTATCCAGACAAATGAGCAATCTCCTTTTTTGGATAAAGTTGGCCACAGTTACCACAATGACTGAAGAAGCAGCACAGAGAGGACCTTTTTGTCAAAGGAGATATGCTAGAACATAGCCAAACCCTAGACCCCCTCCCTTCTAAGTTACTGAAGGTGTCTGACAGTTAAGACCTTAATAATAAATTATATCATTCTGACCTGCTAGTAATGAATGACATTAAAGGGGAAAAATGCTTTGGATTTTGGCTTTAAAATGCTACTCTCAAATTAAATGAAGCCAGGATGCTACATTGCCAATGGGGGGGGGGACTCCTCCCATGTGAATCCCAGCTGATGGGTTGCCAAAATCTATGGGGTGTGCATGAAAGGTTGTTCTCTTTCCATTACAGTACAAGTGCTTGTGCATTACCTATAAACTGCCAGCCTTTAAAAATCACGCAGACTATATTTATTTATTTTCTAAAATGATAAATAAGGCACTGTACTTTGAACTGAAACTGCCAAGCTCCCAGTTAAAAGTCTAGGAACTTCCAAAAGCAGTAACTTCCCTTCTCAGCAGCGGAGAAGAACGGTGCCCCACTCTGCAGGCAACACAGGTGAGGGCTCCTAAAATCAGGGAGAGGGGGTGAGCCTTTCGTCAGACATTGCCTGGCTCTCCCAGGTTCAAATATGGATTTACTTAATGCATGAGGAAGGATTTCTGTGACCTACAACCCCAACCCCAACCCCATTTAACTCAAGGCTGTTACTTTGCATCCAGCCTCCTGCGCTTGCAGGGTGAAGAGTTTTTGTTTGCCCCCAGCTTCCTTTTGCTCTGGGCTTTTTTGTTCTGCTGAGATAGTTTCATTGACCTAGTCAGACCTTTCCCGCTGCTTGCCTTTTTAGCAGTCACTTTCAGAGACCGGCCAGAGGAGTCTTGCACCACTTTCTGCTTTGAAGGCTTGGCAAGTTGCCCTACTTGCTTGGAAGGAAGAGAGACTTTTTGACTGGTGTTTGCTTTCCCTTTCTGGGTGGGAGGCTGCTTCTTCCCGAGCTGTGGTTTCTTCAGTTTCTCATTCTGAGATGTGTGCTTACTGCTTCTCTCCATGGCTGTGTGTTTCCGAGTAGCGCAAGCTTCCGAATGCTTCAGTTTACTGGACTTTTTAAGAGGAAGCTTGTTCGACTGCCCCTGTGCCCTGCCACTCTCATTCAATGACTTCTTTTTGCTTGGCTGAGGCTCACCCTTCAACGGGGAGTCCTCCTGCAGCTTGCCTTTCCCTTTCCTTTCCTTTAATCCACTTTCAATGGATTTATTAGGAGGTGGGGCTGTTTTGACCTGCTGCACCAGCTTTGGAGACATCAGCGGCTTAATGCACAGGCTCTTCCTACTTGGCTTGCTTTCGGATGAGGGCTGCTTTGTTACACAGTCATTTTTCTCCTGTTTGACCACCTTGTGCTGGCCAGGAAGCTTGCTTCGCAAGTTGGAGCATTTCCTCAGAATCCGTGAGCTGGTCTGCACTGGTGTGGTTGGACGGGGTTGGGCTTTGGCTTCCACAGCATGTTCCAAAGTTGCATCAGAGGGGGACATCTGTTTTGGACTGGTGGCCACTTGATCAGGTTCAGTTTCCTCCGTGGCCTCTCGAAGCCTAGCCCACAGTCTTTGGGTTTTTATTGTGTTTTTTGCTGGAGTCATAGCAGCAAACTTCTTCAGGTGCTTCTTCAGACGTTCAGCTTGAAGGGAGCTTGGATAGATGCCAGAAGAGGAGCCCTTCTGGAGCGGAAGCTTGATGAGGGGGATGTCTCCTGGGAGTCGTGTGTTCAACTTCTTCACAATTACCAGAGACTTGGTTTCAGTTGTCTCCATGAACCACCTGCAGATGTTGGATACATTAAATGCCTTCATGAACAGCAGCTGAACAGGGGAGAGCTTCTGGACCTCAGTGGACCCTTTGAATTTCCGAGTCCTCTTCTTGCTTTTCCAGATCTCTTTCAGCTTGTCAGACTTGTTCTTGACCTTTGGAGCTGGCGGGGCCTCCTTCTCCAGCTGAATCCACCCTTTCTGAACCTTCATGTACTGGGCATTAAAATTGGTGATGAGTTCTTGGTTCTCTTCCTCAGCACACCATTCCACAAATCTGGGTTTGTTGTCAGACAATACCTCCATACTGCTAAAACCAATGGGGTCTTCATTCCCAGCTTGCTGTTGGTCCACGACATTAGAGTCTGCTTCTGTAACTACTTTGCCTGCTGTAGTTTTCTGGATACTAGCCACAGGAAGAAGGGCAGGGGTGTGTCTCAAGTTGTAGAATTGGAGGGCTGGCTTCTTGTATCTCATAGATTTCTCTAGTGGTGCATTCTTGCTTTCATTCTTGCTACCAGGACAAGGTTGAAAAATGATCCCATCGTCAGTGTGCAACACCTCTCTAGCTTCCATAGAACTGTCAGAGTTCTTTAGAGCTTCTTGATTCCTATTTGTCTCTTGTTCACCCTCATCGGAGATTTCTGCTGGGACGTGAACACTTCTCTTGTCAGAATTTGCCTCTAAACAGATTTCAAGCATAGCCCCTTGCTTACTCTTGTCATCTCCATCCTGACCTTCATCTACTGCAGCCTCTACTGACAACAGGTTTTTATCAGTCTGCTCCTTTGTGATGTCATTTCTGTCCCCTGCCTGCTCCTTAGATTCACCCTCATGGGTGTTCCCAATGTCAGTGAGCAATGTTTCATGGAAGCAATCACTTGGAAAGCTCACAGACGCTGCCCCATCAAGATGTACCTCCCTCTTGAAACGTTTAGCACCAGGGCTTTTAGAAAGTTTGATCTGAAGCTGAGGAACCTGCAGAGAGGTGGATGAGCTGGGTGGCTCAGAACTGTCCTCTGTGGGAGGCAGGGACTGTTGGCTCCGAAGGCGGCGATCAGATGCAACTTGAGGTTTTCTCTCTCTCTTTCGCTTTTTGTCTGTGCTTATTTTGGAAGGAACTGCCCCTTTGCTGCTTGTTTCTGACAATTCAGAGACTGGCGGAGCTTTGCCATCAGCTTCCCTGCTCTCATCCATCTTGCTAAAACCACTTGTATCTTCTACTGTTTCTGCTTCCCAGTTTTCACCAATATCTACAACAGGCAACACAATCTCACTTTTTCCTGCCTGGCCTTCCTCCCAGTCCTGAGTCCTTTCAACACTGGGCTCAGTATTAATGCTTCCGTTTGCACCAGCACATTGCAAGCTGGCAGGGAGCTCTGTAGCATCAGAGCTGGAATGGAGCTGGGAAAGTTCCAGATTCACCTTGTCAGATATTGTCTCCAGAGGTTCTACAGTAGGGGGCTCTGAGGATTCCAAATCTACATCAGCAAGAGTCTCAGGGACCACACTGGCAGGAAGTACCACTGGAGAGGCTGCCCTCGAGCTGGTAACAGGCTCCCCAGAACACACCATCTCTGTGTCCAAAGGCACCTCTGCTGGGAGGACTGAAGAAACATCCAGACTGTCAAGAGCAGGAGGCTCTGCTTGTGGCTCTGCAAGGTCTGTAGGGGAGTGTAATGGGAGTTCCACATCAGCAGGTGATTCCACAGATGGTGGCAAGTCTACAGTTGTAGCAGACCCCTCAGAGGGAGGTAACGAGTCCATACTGGCTGTGAGCTCTTCAGTCAGTGGCAGATTCACACTAACAGAAGGTTCCTGATTTACAATACTGGAAGGCTCCGGAATATTCTCCAAAGTCACAGAGTTTTCTTTTCCATCAGCGGTTTCTGAGACAGACAGTGGCACAGAATCGGCTGTACTGCCACTGTCTCCACAAGGACTGCTGCTCTTACAGGAGTCCATGGTGTTACACGTCTGCAGGATATCGCCCATATCAGCTTGCTCTTGCATCTCCTGTTCACTCATTTGGGGGGAAGAGACAACTGCCGACGGAAATGAAGAGACAGACAAGCTGCTTTCCTCTGCATTCAGATCAGGGCAAGCCAGTGGGGAGAGAGCAACTGCAGGTGTTTCAGCAGAACTAGCTTCTCTCTGCTTCATGGAATTTGCTTCAAGAAGGTGATTCTCAGATGGGCATGGCTCAGCTCTGTCCTGAGTGTTCTTGTCAGAGGAATCTGTCTGAGGGAGTGCCACAGGGGAAGACCTTTCGTCAGCATCTTCGCTCACAGCGTGAGCTGCTGCCTGAATAGGGCTGGTTTGGACCTCAGCCGTTGGTGCTGAAGCGCTCCCACTCTCCTGTACACGGGAAGCCTTTGCCAAGGTGCGAACAGTTGGAAGCTCACAGCACTCACCATTGTAGTAATAGCCACGTGTACTCTTCCTTGCTGTCTTTCTAGAAGACACAGCCCTCTTGCTCTCAAAGTGGTACTCTGTAATAGGCTGGCTGATAAACACAACGTCACATTGGTTATCATAGTCATTTATTCTTAGTCCCGAGGATCGTTTGCTCTTACGAGTGCTTTTGGAGGAGACTGAGATGCTCTTGGCCCTCGAGTGTCCATTGGTGGTTTTGTGGTGCACCCCTGGCACAGGGCTAGCAGGCAGCCAATTGTCTTTAGCATTCTCCAAATGAGTTTTGTCAACAGGATGCATGTGACCACTCCCCTTGCTCTTCCCCGCAGATTGGAGATGGCTGTCTACCTTCGGCCTGGCTTCCTGGTCATTTATTTCGGTGTCTGTGTGCAAAGAGGCTTTGGAACTGCACTGCAAAGCATTCTCTTTATCTGCTCGCCGAGGGGAGCTTGCTGAGAAGACTGGCTCTCTGGTCTCCTCAGGAAAAGGTTTGAAAAGGCTCTTCTGAGAGCCCAGGAGACTCTCCAGACTATCCTCACTAGTGTTTACATTTGATGCTTTTGCAGCAATGTAACCTCCCAACAAAGCTCTACTTTGCATCTGGTCTTTCTCATCCTCACCTTTTCTGATCCCCATCTCTTGCTCATTGCTAGGGACTTGCCCTTCCAGGCCTTTAGCAGAATAATGGGAATTGGAGGTGGTGAGGTACCCTTGATTGGGACTGTCCCTGGGACTTGCAGAGTTTGTTCTAATGCTAGGAAGCTCAGGGAAGTCTCTTCTGACAATAGGGCTGCAGTTTTCTCTTCTGTCTGATGACTTCAGATCCACAGCTTGCTTCAGAGCATGACACAGTATGCGCAGGGAGCCATGAGGCCCTGATTGCTCAGGGTCCAGAGATGGAAGGTGCTTAGGTTCAGAGCAAGAAGTTCCAAGTTCCTGGTTCTCAGTACGATACTGGCTGCAGCCTGAGCTACAAGTAGACACATCCATGTTTGCAGTTCCAGGTAGCTGCTGGCCCTCACAGCCTGGTTGTACCTCTGTGCATATATCATTCAGGACACGGACGAAGCGCTTCTGGTGGTATGTGCACAACCTGACCATAAACTTTTCCAATGGAGATTTTGGCTGACCAGGACAGTCTATTGCTTCTGTTGTGCCCTCACTAGAAAGAAGGAGAGAGGGAGAGAGAGAGAGAGAGAGAGAGAGAGAAACCAGTCAATACAAAGAAGGATTAGGGAACAACATGAATTTACATTGTAAACATTCACAGCACCTTCTCTTTTCTGCTCCTTTACCTCATAAGAACATAAGAGATGCCAATGTTGGATCAGGCCAAAGGCCCATCCAGTCCAACACTCTGTATCACACAGTGGCCAGAAATACCAGTGCCATCAGGAGGTCCACCAGTGGGGCCAGGACATTAGAAGCCCTCCCACTGTTGACCCCCCCAAGCACCAAGATGACAGAGCATCACTTGCCCCAGAGTCCCTATCTATACCTTGTGGCTAATAGCCACTGATGGACCTCTGCTCCATATGCTTATCTAATTCCCTTTTGAAGCCGTCCATGCTTGTAGCCACCACCACTTCCTGTGGCAGTGAATTCCAAGCGTTAATCACTCTTTGGGTGAAGAAGTACTTCCTTTTATCCGTTCTAACCCGACCACTCAGCAGTTTCATGGAGTGCCCACAAGTTCTTGTATTGTGAGAAAGGGAGAAAAGTACCTCTTTCTCTACCTGCTCTTTCCCATGCATAATCTTATAAACCTCAATCATGTCACCCCTCAGTCGTCGTTTCTCCAAGCTAAAGAGCCCTAAGCGCCTTAACCTTTCCTCATAGGGAAAGTGTTCCAACCCTTTTATCATTCGAGTTGCCCTTTTCTGCACTTTTTCCAAAGCTATAATATCCTTTTTAAGGTGTGGTGACCAGAATTGCACACAGTATTCCAAATGAGGTCGCACCATTGATTTATATAGGGGCATTATGATATTGGCTGATCTGTTTTCAATACCCTTCCTAATAATCCCCAGCATAGCATTGGCCTTCTTTATTGCAGTCACACACTGTCTCGACATTTTCAGTGAGTTATCTACTACAACTCCAAGATCTCTCTCTTGATCAGTCTCTGCCAGTTCAGACCCCACCTCAGCAGCTCAGTGGCAACCAGGCAGGTAACTAAAGTAAAATCCCACATTTTCAAGTTTATGCCTGTTGTCTCTCCCTATTTCAGTACAGTGGCAGTCAGTAAAAAGTTGTTGGGACACAACCCTAACCATCTCTCCCTATAAAGCCCTTAGGGAATACTTTGTGCCAAGGAAACCCAAAAAGCAGCTAGAGAGCACCAACAAGATGCCTGATGCTACTGGTCTTTCCACTAAATCCTCCAGTGGCAGCCTACTGTGGCTGCAAAACGACCTGGTCCCTTTGTGCTAATGAAGCATAATTTCTGTTTTGAACAATAAAAAGATCATTGTCATACTCAAACACATGGTAAGCAGATCTCTCCAGAACTGGATGATAAGACCCCAGATGCCTAAGAGGATCAGGAGTTTTGGAGGAGATATATAAACTCTTTCCATGCTCCAAGTCTCCAGATAAGAATTAGAATAAACAACAGCTACAAATTTCTTATGTATAATTCTATACAAGGGACGGGAGTCAGCCCTTGCCCTCCCCAAATCTACCGCCACAATTCTAAATTTCAAGCACAGGGATTAACTAGAGTTGACTGGAGTAGTCATTTGTTTGTTTGCTATGGAAAGAGGCAACAACTGACTTTAAGTGGAGCATGGAGATAGGGCGGCTTCGTCTGCTGGGGCTGGCAGCAATGTTCCCTCTAAGATGTGGAGTCTTGTGAGCAAAAATTCTGCTTTGTGAGCTACCGGCATTAAAGTTGTGAGCGAGCAATTTGGCTATTGCATAAATCAGTTTCCCTCCTTGTTAATCTCTTATTGCATATTCTGTGCTTTTGTACACTCATTTTAGTAGTTCAGATTTTGACCTTACTCTGGAGTCTTCCCACTCTGGTGGTGTTTTCCTGTTCAACATCAAATGAGCTGAACTCTTACAGGGAAGTACAAAAGTCCCATGCAAACAGGAAGGTAAACTGGGGACTGTTAGTTATAAATACTATATGGTTTACTTCAAGGACTCTGACCAAGCACACATAAGAAGAGACCTGGACACCAAAGTGCACCTCTACTTAAGGCTAATCATGTTTACTCAGAAGTAGAGATGTAAAATTTCCGGAAATTTTGAAGCTCGGAAAAAACCCCGTTTTTTTCTGGTTTTTTCCGGGAAAAAGCGGAAATTTTCGGAAAAATGGAAAAAAAATGCTACATTGTCTTTTCTAGATTGAAAGTCATTCTGTTACTTTAGGAACATAAAATATGACTATGGACATTTTTACTTGGCATGAAATTATCACAACTAGCATATTAAAAATATAGTGTATCCAAACAATTATTACAAACAGAATACCCAACCACATGCAAAAACAAAACTGAAACTTTTTTACTTTCTTCTGACAATCGCACCTCCTAAAGGAAGAAATGCATCTTGTTCTTGCATTGAAGAGTTCAGTTTGTAACCTAGGACTTGCTTGTCCTCAGTGCACAGAAATTAGATCAATCAGATACCATGTATATATATTTTAGAAATGATTTGGAAAATATTTGAACACCTTGTCTTAAAATATTTTATTCATCATGTTAAAATAAAACGTTCCATAATCAATTTCTTTTCTTTCTTTTTTCAATTTTTCCAATTTTTCGGAAAAAAATAAAAAAGGCTTCAGGAAAAAAACGGGGGAAAACCGTTTTCCCCTCGAATTTTTCTGGTTTTTTTCCGGGCGTTTACATCTCTACTCAGAAGTCAGTCTTTCAGACTTTAATAGAACTTACTCAGAACCAGTATCTTTAGAAATGAAATCCTAGTCAGCAAGCGCAGATGGTTAAACCAAAAAGAGGAACTTGCATCCCAAGAGATTGGGAAACAGGTTCTTTTCACACTTCTGTTTCCATTTTCCTATATAATTTCCTATTCCATTCAGATTATTCCTTCATTCTTATTACTGGCAAACTAGTAGGCTTGGAGACAAATGTCCTGCCCCTTTAACAGAGGCTTAGCAGATGTTATTTACATCCATGCCATTAAGAGTTTCAACTTCCCATTTCCACACATCAAGCCTCTATTAAAGGGACAGGCTATTTTTATCCAGGCCTGTTGGAAGCCCTACTAACTACTATTCTGGATTCCCAGCTATATCTTGGAAAAGTCATATAATCATTTGTTGCCCCAGTCTCCCCCATCCTTTTAGAATCATAGAGTTGGAAGGGACCTCCAGGGTCATCTAGTCCAACCCCCTGCACAATGCAGGAAATTCACAAATACCCCCCCACACACACCCAGTGACCCCTGCTCCATGCCCACAAGATGGCAAAAAAAAAAACCAATCTCCAGGATCCCTGGCCATCCTGACCTGGAGAATATGGCTTCCTGACCCCAAAGCGCCAATCGTCATTTCCCTGGGCGTGTAAGAAAGGGCCATGAGAACTAAGCACTGATGCAACCCTTCCTGCCCTCCCCCTCATGATCTGCCTAAGATCACAGAATCAGCATTGCTGTCAGCCTCTGTTTGAAAACCTCCAAAGAAGGAGAGCCCATCCCCTTCCGAGGAAGCGTGTTCCACTGAGGAACCGCTTTGTCAGGAAATTCTTCCTAATGTTTAGCCAAAAACACTTTTGATTTAATCTCATCCCCTTTTAAAAAGGGAATGCCAATAAAATCCACATTACATTAACAGAAGCATCACATCTAAGTTAGAATATGCAGGATGGTTTTAGAAGCAATACTGTGGCTTGGTATAGTGTATCTTAGATTTAATTCTTTACAGTCTGTCTCCTAGACCTATTCCCAATAAGCATCATAGACCGTTCAAGAAAGAAACAGCTTTTACCATCTTTTAACTTTATCCCACACACACACACCCGGACACACACCTTAACATTGTGAGGGGCTCTCTGTGTGTCAGTGGACAGAGAGCAATACTGTAATGAGTCACTCAAGGCAGAAAGTTCACAGCTGAGACATCAGATTAAGATGCTTCCACCCCTTTTAAGAATCATTGACCACATTGGCAGAAGAGAACAGGCAGTTCCAATGGAGATGGGGGTGGAGGACTTGGTAACAAGAGCTGCGGTGGCTCAAGTGGTTAAGACGCTGAACTGCAGGCTGTGGAAGGTCAGTAGTTCAGCAGTTCGAGACCCGAGTTGCCGCATGATGGAGTGAGCTCTCGTCTCTAGTTCCAGAGGAAGACCAAACGTGAGATGGATTGACTCAGTCAAGGAAGCCAGAGCCCTCAGTTCACAAGACCTAAATAAGGCTGTTAACAACAGGATGTTCTGGAGGATCATGAATTCATAAGGCTGCTATAAGTTGGAAGCAGCCTGACTGCATTGTGAAAAGCAGGCATTTTTGAGCACTCTGACTGGAATTTAAAGCACATGGCTGGCCTGTGACTTCTCACCAGGGTTCCCCTGAACTCTGCTTAGTCACAGTCATACTCTTTTTTATTTGCTAAGATAATTAGCTGGAAACAGAGGAAGAACACATAGCCCCCACAAGCCTTTTAACCTAACAGTCATATTGGTTTTAATGAAACTTACTTCTAAGTAAGGGGAACGTAAGCGTCTCAAGAGGCGCCCTGACCTGGATAGCCCAGGCAAGCCAGATCTCATCGGATCTCGGAAGCTAAGCAAGGCTGACCCTGGCAAATACTTGAATGGGAGACCTCCAAGGAATACCAGGGCTGGGATGCAGAAGCAGGCAATAGCAAGCCACCTCTCTGCAACATCCAAACCCCACTCAGGGTCACCAGGAGTCAACCATGACTTCCAGGCATACACACACACACAAAATACTCACCAAAAAAGATTCTCAAGAGGCCATTTTAAAGATTAATTTTGCTTGCTATGGTATAATAGTGAATA